GTAGGGGTTTCAGGGTGTGTTGAGGGAGGGTGCCAGTGGTGTTGGGAGGTGTAAGGGGTGTTTGCAGGGTGTCAGGGGTTGTTGGGAGGGTGTCAGGGATGTTGGGAGGGTGTCAGGGATGTTGGGAAGGTGTTGGGAGGGTTGTCAGGGGTGTCGGCCAGGGTGTCAGGGGTGTTGGGAGGGGTTGTCAGGGGTGTGTGAGGGTGTCAGGGGGTGTTGGTAGGATGTCATGGTGTGTGGTAAAGTGTGAGGGGTGTTGGGAGAGTTGCATTGGTGTTGGGAGGGTGTCACAGGGTGTTGGGAGGTTGTCAGGGATGTTGGGAGGTCTGCTCACGGGTGTTGGAAGCTTGTCTAGGCGAATGTTGGGAGGGTTGTCAGGGGGTTTTGAGAGAGGTGTCAGGGGTGTTCGGAGGTTGTCAGGGGTGTTCGGAGGTTGTCAGGGTGTTGGGAGGGTGTCAGGGGTGTTGGAGGTTGTTCAGGGGTGTTGAGAGGGTGTCAGGGTGTTTTGTTGGGAGGTTGTTCAGGGGTGTTGGGAGGTTGTCAGAGGTGTTGGGAGGTTGTCAGGTGTTGAGAGGGTGTCAGGGAGTGTTGGGAGGTTGTCAGGAGGATGTTGGGAGATTGGTTCAGGGTGTTGGGAGCGGTTTTTCAGGGGGTGTTGGCATGAGGGTTGTTCAGGTGGTTGTTGGGAGGTTCGTCAGGGGTGTTGAGAGGGTGTCAAGGGCGTTGGGAGGGTGTCAGGGGTGTTGAGAGGGTGTCAGGGGTGTTGGGAGGGTGTCAGGGGTGTTGAGAGGAGGGTCAGGGGAGTGGGAGGTTGTCATGGGTGATGAAGGTTGTCAGGAGTGTTGGGAGGGTGTCAGGAGGTTGTTGGGAGGGTTGTCAGGGGTGTTGCGATGTTGTCAGTTTGTTGGGAGGGTGTCAGGGGTGTTGGGAAGGTGTCAGGGGTGTTTGGGAGGTTGTCAGGGGTTATGGGTAGGGTGTCAGGGGTGAGAGAGGGTGCCAGTGGTGTTGGGAGGTTTTCAGGGGTTTGGCAGGTGTCAGGGTGTTGTTTGGAGGGGTGCCAGAGGATGTTGGGAGGGTTGTCAGGAATGTCGGGCCAGGGTGTCGGGAGGTGTTGGGAGGGTTTGTCAGGGGGTGTTGAGGAAGGGTGTTGGTTTCCCCCCCCCCAGGGGTGTTCGGAGGGTGTTGGTGGGCGTCAGGGTGTTGGTAAGGTTTCAGGGGTGGTGTTTGTACGGTTGTCAGGGGGGGGTGTTGGGAGGGTGTCAGGTGTTGGGATGGTGTCACGGGGTGTTGGGAAGGTTGTCAGGGGTGTTGGAGGGGTGTACAGGGTTGTTGGGAGGGGTTGTCTGGGGTGTTGGGAGGTTGTCTGGGGTGTTTGGGAGGGATGTCAGGGGTGTTGGGAGGTTGTGTGTCCGGGTGTCTGTTGGAAGGGTGTCAGGGTTGTTGGGGGGGTGTTCAGGGTTGTTTTTGTGAGTGTTGTCTGGGTGTTGGGAGGATGTCAGGTGTGTTGGGAGGTGTCAAGGTGTTGAATCGAGGGTAGTACAGAGGGTTGTTTGACGGTTAGTCAGGGGGTGTTTTGGAGGGTTGTCAGGGGTGTTGCAGAGGGTTGTGTCAAGGGTGTTGAGAGGGTGTCAAGGGTGTTGAGAGGGTGCCAGGGGTGTTGGGAGGTTGTCGGGGTGCTGAAAGGGTGTCAGGCGATGGTGAGAGGGTGCCAATGGGAGTGTGGTAGAGGTTGTCTTAGTGTTGGGAGGGTGTCAGGGGTGTTGGAGGGGTGACAGGGGTGTTGGGAGGGTTGCCAGGGGTGTTAGGAGGTTGTCAGGGGTTTGCTGAACTGAAAGGGTGTCAGGAGGTGTTTGGAGGTTGTCAGGGGTGTAGAGAGTGTGTCAGGGGTGTTTGGGAGGTTAGTCAGGGGGTGTTGAGGTCCGGTCTCTTGTCAGGGCGTGGTTGAAGGAAGGGTGCCAGGGGTGTGGAGAGGGTTGCAGGGGTATCGGGAAGTTGTTCAGGTGGTGTTGTTGAGAGCGGTGTCAGGGGAGTGGTTGAGAGGTGGTTCAGGGGTCGTTGAAAGGGTGGTCAGGGTGTTTGGGAGTTTGTCAGGGGTGTTGAAGTGGTGTCAGGGGTGTGGAGAGTGTGTTCAGGGCATGTGGAGAGGTTGTCAGGGAGGGTGTTGGAGGTTCTGGTCATTGGTGTTGAGAGTTTCAGGGGTTGTTGATGTGGGTTGTCAGGGGTTTGGAGAGGGTGTCTGGGGTGTGGAGAGGGTTTGCTGCCAGGGCGTGAAGAGTGCTGCCAGCGGTGTGGTGAGGGTGCCAGGGGTGTGGGAGAGGGTGGCCAGGCGAGTGGAGCGGGTGCCAGGCGTGTGGAGCGGGTGCCAGTGGTGTTGAGAGTGTGCCAGGGGTGAGGGAGGGCTTGCCAGGGGTGTGGAGAGGGTGCCAGGGGTGTGTGAGAGGGTGCCAGGGGTGTAGGAGAGGGTTGCAGGGGTGTGGAGAGGGTGCCAGGGCGTGTGGAGAGGGTGCCAGTGGTGTTGATGAGGGTTGCCAGGGGTAGTGGGGAGGGTGGCCAGAGGTGTGGGGAGGGTGCCCAGGGGTGATGAGAGGGTACCAGGGGTGTGGGGATGGTGCCAGGGTGTGTGGAAGAGGCCCGGGGTGTGGAGAGGGTTGCCAGGTGTGGAGAGGGTGCCAGGGGTGTGGAGAGGGTGCCAGGGGTGTTGAGAGGGTGCCAGGGGTGTGGAGAGGGTGCCAGGGGTGTTGAGAGGGTGCCAGGGGTGTGGAAGAGCGGTGCCAGGGGGGTGTGAGAGAGGTGACAGGGAGTGTGGAGAGGGTGGCCAGGGGTGTTGAGAGGGTGCCAAGGGAGTGTGGAGGACGAGGGTTTGGCCAGGGGTGTTTTGAGAGGGTTCCACAAAAAGGCGGTGTGGGAGCGTGAGGGTGCCAGGGGTGTGGAGAGGGGTGTCATATTTCTCTGAAGGTTGTCAGGTGAGAGATAATTCACTAAGTACAGTATATCCCAGCTTATACAACAGGTTCTGGGTTACAGCTGTAAAACTGTAAATTGCTGTAAAGTGAATCACATCCCTTTTTTTCACTATCAAATACAGTGGTACCTGGAGTTACGAACTTAATTTATTCCAGAAGACTTTTCGAGTGCCGATACTGAACGAATTTGTTCCCATAAGGAATAATGTAAATTAGATTAGTCTGTTTCAACCCCCCCAAAAATACACTTACAAAAGCACTTACAAAGTTCTGATTTTACTTGGCGAGTGTCTGGGTTCAATTCCCGGTGAGGGTAGAAACATTTGGTGTGTTTTCTTACTCCTGTTGTCCATGTTCACCCATCAGTAAAATGATACCTGGGTGTTTATCGATTGACTTAATTTGCGGGAAATGCTCAGCGTAACAAGCGGCTTTCTATATAGTAGTATGTCATTGATGTCACTTAGGCCTATATACCTTGTTCATTTACTTGTAGAAATAAAGATATGCGTTGTTATTATTATTGATTTCAGCTCAGCCTGTGTACCTTGTACATGTATATATATTATTATATTAACGCATTTGGTTGTTTCCCACTAAGGCAGGGTGGCCCGAAAAAGAAAAATTTTCGTTATTCAGTCAATCACTGTCTTGCCAGAGGCATGCCTACACTACAGCTATAACACTGCAACATTAACACCCCTCATTCAGAGTGCAGACACTGTACTTCCCATCTCCAGGACTCAAGTCCGGCCTGCCGGTTTCCCTGAATCCCTTCATAAATGTTACTTTGCTCACACTCCACCAGCACGTCAAGTCCTAAAAACCATTTGTCTCCATTCGCTCCTATTTAACATGCTCATGTATGCTTGCTGGAAGTCCAAGCCCATTGCACACAAAACCTCCTTTACCCCCTCCCTCCAACCTTTTCTAGGCTGACCCCTACCCCGCCTTCCCTCCACTACAGATTTATACACTCTATTAAATGTCTGTAAATTCTAATACTTTGATTTCCTCATCTCAGTTCAAAAATTTCATAAAATGCAGATTGTTTAATTGATGTAAATTCTATTTAATTTACTTGTAACTGACCAATTTGTCACTGACAACCTGTCTGACTGTAGCTGTTTGAGGTGACCCACATTAGTTGTAATGGTGCGCAGGGTCGTGACACTAGGCTCAGTCTAGAGGCATAAGTAGTACCCACATTATTTGTAATGGTGTGCAGGGTCGTGACACTAGGCTCGGTCTAGAGGCATAAGTTGTGTGTAAGACTTAAGATTAGTTTGCTTGAAATGCACTGGATAATTAGTATCTTTCTTCTGTTCTTGCTCTTATATCAGACTATATATTGAACTGCATATATCTACTGTAACTCCTTATACCTTTGATATACCTTTGAAGAGTTTCGAGAGTTTATCTACTCTCTGAGCCTGGCCATGGGCCAGGCTTGTCTGGTGTTTGCCTGGTCAACCAGGCTGTTGCTGCTCCTGTATGGTTATGAGAAATTTAATTTTTTTTTATATTTGGTTGGGGCATTAATTTTATAATATTCCCTAAATAGTGGAAGTAGTCACAAACTTGGCAGCAGTAATGTCTGTTGTTTCAGTCATCCTGGGAAGATATGTTTCTGTAAGATATTTGTGAATTATGAGACTATGTTACAACATTCAATTTGAAAGTTGTAGCTTATACTAGGAATAGAAAATTTTGCATTGAAGAATGTTATTCTAGTTTATTCTATTTACAAACTAAACAATAGCTGTTAATAACTTTTTGGTGGAGCCTGTATCTCCTATATACATGTATCATATAAACAATGGAAGAAATTAAATTAATCGTGTGATTGCAAATATGTAAAAACACCTCAATGAAAACAGGGAAAAACACCTTAGTACTTTCATGTGTTTACATACACGTCTTCTTTCTATTCCTCTGAAGATGTGTGTGTAAGCACTTGAAAGCACTCAAGTGGTTTTTTTCTATCCTTCAAATAAAATAGTAAGCATATAATTAATGCTAGATTATTTTTTTAAGGCCAAAGAAAGAAGTCTGACCCTGCTTTAGATCTGATGGCAATGTACGAGGAGGTTGAAGTGGATGAGGCGCACTCTGGCGTACTTGCGAACTCAGAGGACAACAGTAGGGGCTTGAAGAGAGTGCAGATCAAACTTGAACATGGAACAGGTATTGGAGAGACTCATGTCCAGACTTCAGTTGAAAATCCTCCTGTTATGTCTACTCATCTTCATCCACAACAGGCTCACCAGTCCAGTGCTCCATTTTTGACCACTCAAGACATAGACATTCACAAAGAGTCCATTGAGATGCGGGAGGATCACCAAGGTGCCGAAACAAGAGCAACGATCCGTATAAGCCACGGCGAAGACCCACTAGCCCAGGCAGTAAAAGTTACACAGACAAGTGAAGATATGACAGAACCAAACGTGCCAAACATCCTGACCAGCTCAGGAACTATGATAAGAATGGGGGACCCTCCACATACATCCACATCAATTCAGGACACAATAGTAAGCTACCACACTAGTATTTATATACTTATTGATAAGCACTATTTTGATTATTATTATAATTTGTAATCCCTATTAGGGATACCCCATAGTTTATTGTATCCCTCTCCTCACTACGTTTATTGTATCCCTCTCCTCACAAGTTTATTGTATCCCTCTCCTCACTACGTTTATTGTATCCCTCTCCTCACAAGTTTATTGTATCCCTCTCCTCACTACGTTTATTGTATCCCTCTCCTCACTACGTTTATTGTATCCCTCTCCTCACTACACAGTGCTTCACTTTATGATATATTTACTATGTTTCTTTGTATTGACTTCACCCTTAATATACATGTATATTCATAAAATATGTATGTATATTCATAGAAAATATGCTGTCAAAAAGTGCCCAGACTGCACCAAAAAAATATACATTTGCTCTTCGACCTACAATGGGGTTACATTCTAATGAACCCATCGTAAGTTGCAAATATCATAAGTCGAATATTATTGTATATAACCCTAATTTTTAAAGTAGTGGACTGGCAAGCCAGCAGAAGGTGTTGGTCAGATGACCAGAAGCTCCAACAGCGGGTCATCATCTGACTAAGACCCGCGTCAGGAAACACTTTTCCTGTTTCCTGACAAACCTTACCTAGCCTAATGTAACCTCGAATGTGAATATGATATGCTAAATAAATAAATAACTACTCTCACTGAATGAATAAAAAAATAATTACTGTAACTAACTAAATATCAATATTAAAAAGTAAATAAATGAATACAACTTACAGACATGTTGTCTTCATGCTGGATAATTATCTTAAGTTTGATCTCTAAAGTAGTACAGTATAGTGGACCCCCGGTTTACGATCAGCTCCCAATGTGACCAATTATGTAAGTGTATTTATGTAAGTGCATTTGTATGTGTTTGGGGGTCTGAAATGGACTAATCTAATTCACAATATTCCTTTTGGGAACAAATTCGATCAGTACTGGCACCTGAACATACTTCTGGAGTGAAATAATATCGTAAACCGGGGGTCCACTGTAATTGCTTTTGCACCATCGTAAAGTTGAAATATCGTATGTCATAGAGCACCTGCATGCTTACCTAATCACCTAGTTGAAGTCGTCTCCTTCGAAGTACTCTCCTTGGGAGGCTATACATTGGTCCCAATGCTCCTGTCACTTCTCAAAATGTTTCTGGAACTTCTTTTCTAATGATATCTAGCACGATCTGCAGGTTTGCTTGAGTGCCATTTATATTTAAAAAAAAAAAAAAAGAGGACATCCCAGGTGCCAGACCTGGATAGTCGGGAAAACAACCGTACCACGGGCAGGGATAGAACCTGTGATCATTGCCATAAAACTCCAGACCGACACGTTAGCGAGTTCTATCTCCTTCCATGGTATGGTTTGTTTGCAATTGTGTCATTACAATTTCGTGAGTCTGGATAGAAGGAAGGGTGAGGGATGATTGCCATGTTGTTTTTGTCCAGAAAATGATGGTCTTTCAGGTCTTGAGTCAGCTAGTGGGGCACATTTTGTCAGCCACTCATGTCGTACAGATTTTGTCAGCCACTCATGTCATATTCAAATTTTGTCAAAATGATTTGACATGATCCATAATTTGACATGATCCATAATTTGACATGATCCATAATTTGACATGATCCATAATTTGACATGATCCATAATTTGACATGATCCATAATTTGACATGATCCATAATTTGACATGATCCATAATTTGACATGATCCATAATTTGACATGATCCAAAATTTGACATGATCCATAATTTGACATGATCCAAAATTTCTACAGCTATTGCAGTGTCTTGGAGACACTTATGATGATTTAATGAATAAGCTGTAGTGTGGGTCTAAGATAACTAAGCTGTGTTGTGGTTCTAAGATAACATAAGCTGTGGTGTGGTTCTAAGATAACATAAGCTGTGGTGTGGTTCTAAGATAACATAAGCTGTAGTGTGGTTCTAAGATAACATAAGCTCTGGTGTGGGTCTAAGATAACATAAGCTGTGGTGTGGTTCTAAGATAACATAAGCTGTAGTGTGGTTCTAAGATAACATAAGCTGTAGTGTGGTTCTAAGATAACATAAGCTGTGGTGTGGTTCTAAGATAACATAAGCTGTAGTGTGGTTCTAAGATAACATAAGCTGTAGTGTGGTTCTAAGATAACATAAGCTGTGGTGTGGTTCTAAGATAACATAAGCTCTGGTGTGGGTCTAAGATAACATAAGCTGTGGTGTGGTTCTAAGATAACATAAGCTCTGGTGTGGGTCTAAGATAACATAAGCTGTGGTGTGGTTCTAAGATAACATAAGCTCTGGTGTGGGTCTAAGATAACATAAGCTGTGGTGTGGTTCTAAGATAACATAAGCTCTGGTGTGGGTCTAAGATAACATAAGCTGTTGTGTGGGTTTAAGATAACATAAGCTCTGGTGTGGGTCTAAGATAACATAAGCTGTGGTGTGGTTCTAAGATAACATAAGCTGTTGTGTGGGTCTAAGATAACATAAGGTGTGGTGTGGGTCTAAGATAACATAAGCTCTGGTGTGGTTCTAAGATAACATAAGCTCTGGTGTGGTTCTAAGATAACATAAGCTGTGGTGTGGGTCTAAGATAACATAAGCTGTGGTGTGGTTCTAAGATAACATAAGCTGTGGTGTGGGTCTAAGATAACATAAGCTGTGGTGTGGTTCTAAGATAACATAAGCTGTGGTGTGGGTCTAAGATAACATAAGCTGTGTGTGGTTCTAAGATAACATAAGCTGTGGTGTGGGTCTAAGATAACATAAGCTGTGGTGTGGGTCTAAGATAACATAAGCTGTGGTGTGGTTCTAAGATAACTTAAGGTGTGGTGTGGTCCTGGGATAACATTAAAGCTAGGTAGCAACAACACACACCAACCTAGCAGGTGAGAGCCAGTGCTTAGATTTTGCCATCAAAGGAGCTGGTTTATCGTGCATCCTGTATCCATCCTGTGGAGTGTAACACAAGAGCATATGGATACATAAAAGGGCATGGGAACTAGGCTCCAAAAGGGTTTACAGGAGTACATCGGGATTTATATCTACAGTTCACTTATATGTTGCAAAGCAAATTTAGGACATATCATATAGGTTATTATACTATCTGTTTTTATATTCCTATATAAGTGGACAGTTATGTACATAGTGTTTAAGATAGTGGCCATAGGGCTGGCCATATACTTTGCATTTAGTTTGATCATCATCTGTATGTCTGCTAAACTGCCAGAAGTATTTGTAACCACATCATCACACTGCCAGAAGTACTTGTAACCAAGCCTAAGCCTGGCTACTACAACATCACACTGCCAGAAGTACTTGTAACCAAGCCTAAGCCTGGCTACTGCAACATCACACTGCCAGAAGTACTAGTAACCGAGCATAAACCTGGCCACTACAACATCACACTGCCAGAAGTACTTGTAACCAAGCCTAAGTCTGGCTACTACAACATCACACTGCCAGAAGTACTTGTAACCAAGCCTAAGCCTGGCTACTGCAACATCACACTGCCAGAAGTACTAGTAACCGAGCATAAACCTGGCCACTACAACATCACACTGCCAGAAGTACTTGTAACCAAGCCTAAGTCTGGCTACTACAACATCACACTGCCAGAAGTACTAGTAACCGAGCATAAACCTGGCCACTACAACATCACACTGCCAGAAGTACTTGTAACCAAGCCTAAGTCTGGCTACTACAACATCACACTGCCAGAAGTACTAGTAACCGAGCATAAACCTGGCCACTACATCATCACACTGCCAGAAGTACTTGTAACCGAGCATAAACCTGGCCACTACAACATCACACTGCCAGAAGTACTTGTAACCAAGCCTAAGCCTGGCTACTACAACATCACACTGCCAGAAGTACTTGTAACCAAGCCTAAGCCTGGCTACTACAACATCACACTGCCAGAAGTACTTGTAACCAAGCCTAAGCCTGGCTACTACAACATCACACTGCCAGCAGTACTTGTAACCAAGCCTAAGCCTGGCTACTACAACATCACACTGCCAGCAGTACTTGTAACCGAGCATAAACCTGGCCACTACAACATCACACTGCCAGAAGTACTTGTAACCGAGCATAAACCTGGTCACTACAACATCACACTGCCAGAAGTACTTGTAACCGAGCATAAACCTGGCCACTACAACATCACACTGCCAGAAGTACTTGTAACCAAGCCTAAGCCTGGCTACTACAACATCACACTGCCAGCAGTACTTGTAACCGAGCATAAACCTGGCCATTACAACATCACACTGCCAGAAGTACTTGTAACCGAGCATAAACCTGGCCACTACAACATCACACTGCCAGAAGTACTTGTAACCGAGCATAAACCTGGCCATTACAACATCACACTGCCAGAAGTACTTGTAACCTAGCATAAACCTGGCCATTACAACATCACACTGCCAGAAGTACTTGTAACCGAGCATAAACCTGGCTACTACAACATCAGTCAGTGTTCACATTACATATTGCTCCATAAACATTCTTATCTATGTTCATGTTATCATAGTTGGTTATAGATATACTCAGGCTTCTAACATAGATATACTCAGGCTTCTAACATAGATATACTCTGGCTTCTAACATAGATGTACTCAGGCTTCTAACATAGATATACTCAGGCTTCTAACATAGATGTACTCAGGCTTCTAACATAGATATACTCAGGCTTCTAACATAGATATACTCAGGCTTCTAACATAGATATACTCAGGCTTCTAACATAGATGTACTCAGGCTTCTAACATAGATGTACTCAGGCTTCTAACATAGATATACTCAGGCTTCTAACATAGATGTACTCAGGCTTCTAACATAGATATACTCAGGCTTCTAACATAGATGTACTCAGGCTTCTAACATAGATGTACTCAGGCTTCTAACATAGATGTACTCAGGCTTCTAACATAGATGTACTCAGGCTTCTAACATAGATATACTCAGGCTTCTAACATAGATGTACTCAGGCTTCTAACATAGATATACTCAGGCTTCTAACATAGATATACTCAGGCTTCTAACATAGATATACTCAGGCTTCTAACATAGATGTACTCAGGCTTCTAACATAGATGTACTCAGGCTTCTAACATAGATGTACTCAGGCTTCTAACATAGATGTACTCAGGCTTCTAACATAGATATACTCAGGCTTCTAACATAGATGTACTCAGGCTTCTAACATAGATATACTCAGGCTTCTAACATAGATGTACTCAGGCTTCTAACATAGATGTACTCAGGCTTCTAACATAGATGTACTCAGGCTTCTAACATAGATATACTCAGGCTTCTAACATAGATGTACTCAGGCTTCTAACATAGATGTACTCAGGCTTCTAACATAGATGTACTCAGGCTTCTAACATAGATGTACTCAGGCTTCTAACATAGATATACTCAGGCTTCTAACATAGATATACTCAGGCTTCTAACATAGATGTACTCAGGCTTCTAACATAGATATACTCAGGCTTCTAACATAGATGTACTCAGGCTTCTAACATAGATGTACTCAGGCTTCTAACATAGATATACTCAGGCTTCTAACATAGATGTACTCAGGCTTCTAACATAGATATACTCAGGCTTCTAACATAGATATACTCAGGCTTCTAACATAGATATACTCAGGCTTCTAACATAGATATACTCAGGCTTCTAACATAGATATGCTCAGGCTTCTAACATAGATATGCTCAGGCTTCTAACATAGATATGCTCAGGCTTCTAACATAGATGTACTCAGGCTTCTAACATAGATATACTCAGGCTTCTAACATAGATATACTCAGGCTTCTAACGGCATTCCTATAACATTTAGTTTCATTATTTACTTCTCTCCTAATATTATTCCTAATGCTAGACACAGTTATACCAAAGTTATATTCTACATTCTCCTTCTGGATACTCTTCTTGGCTAACATATCAACTTTATCATGAAGGAGTAATCCAATGTGTGATGGCATCCATAGCAATTGTACATTAATTCCTTTTTTTTCCAGATTTTTGAGTATCTATATCTGGCTTCTCCAATGAGGATATTATAAGTTATTATGTGAATCAAGAGTCTTCAGTGATGTAGAAGACAAGCATTTTTTTAATTTTCATTTTTGACCTCTGACAGGTGACCATTTTTGTAACCCAGTAGTTTGACTAGTTGACTATTATGATTTTATTCATGGGGAAAAACCACACTTGTGGGAGGAGAGGGGCAAGGATTTGAGCACCCACTTAATATTTGTATTTATAACTCATTACAATTGTGACCAGGTGTGGACGTATCAGTGGTTCATTACTTTGTAATTTGTTCATGACTGTAACCATGTATAGGAGTGAAGCTGATTCATTACCTCTGTAACTTGCCATGATTGTGACCAGATCTACCTGGAGTTCATTACCTTTGTAACTAGTTCACCTATCATAACTTTGGGATCCAGTCCCTAGACCCATTATGTACCTTTGTAATCTTTTGACTACCGCCCACAGGATGGTTTGGGGTGCATAATAAAGATATTAAACTAACTAAATACTGCCATATGAGCATGTTTGTGGAGTGAGTGGAGATGAATGGTTTTTAGGGCATACCTTAGTTTTATTTGGGTTCTGGTACAGGCAGTGTGTCTAGGCTGCTCTTGCCAGGCCTACTGGCCTGACGAGAAGTGAGGGAGGGAGGTCTTGCTTGTGGCTTGTCTGGTGCAGTAGTAAGAAGTATACAGTGTCATGCAGTGAAGTCTAAATAGGCCTAAGCCCCAGCAGATGGCAGCACATGACTTGCAAAATACAAAACCCAGAGTAGTACATATTTGTGAAGGGATTTGGAGAAATTGGTTACCCAGAGTCTTGAAGGTGGGAGGTACAGTGCTTATACCTGGGTGGGAATATTGCAGTTTGGTGGGTCATTCAGATTGTGATATTTGATCCTTTTGGAAAGACAGTTACTGAATAAGCAATGGTGAATGTTTTTTTTTTTTTTTTTTTTTTTTTTTTTTTTTTTTTTTTTTTTGAGATGTCCTATGTAACATGTAACATGTGTTTTAGGATGTTCAAGAAGAGTCTGGTGTGATCCTGCTGGGTTTGTCTGACGGAGAGCCTCAGGTCGTGTTTATGCTGGTGGCTCCTCTCACACATCAACACCAATAACCACACAGTCTTTACGACCAACACATCCACGTCGCTTTCGAAAGTATTCAAAACAAGACCTCATTGTAAGTTGACGAAAGAGCACGTATGACTAATTTTAGATGACTCTTAATCATTACAATACAGTGGACCCCCGGTTAACGATATTTTTTCACTCCAGAAGTATGTTCAGGTGCCAGTACTGACCGAATTTGTTCCCATAAGAAATATTGTGAAGTAGATTAGTCGATTTCAGACCCCCAAACATACACGTACAAATGCACTTACATAAATACACTTACATAATTGGTCGCATTCGGAGGTAATCGTTATGCGGGGGTCCACTGTATATGTATTTTTAATTGTTTAATTTTTTCTTACTACAGTGGACCCTCGCATAACGTTGGCATCACATAACGTTAAATTCGCATAACGATACTTTTAATGCTAACATTTTCCTTCGGATAACGTTAAAAAACTCGCTTAACGATATTCGTTCTCGGGTACCAATTAATATCATTATGTGAGGGTCCACTGTAATGGTTTGTTGTTAAGAAGCTCACTACATTTACACTTGATTATTTGCCCCAAATCAGATGACCATGATAAACTTTCAATTTAATAAAGAATAAAAGGCACAATACTGTAACGGGAACAAATAACCCGCACAGGAAAAAGAAGCTTACGACGCTGTTTTGGTCTGACTGGACCATTAACTAGTCAATTTAATAAATTTGTTTTCTGTTTACAAGGCCATAGGGACCCCCCATACATTGGAATGTCATTTCATTACCCATCACTCCCTGTTGCTCACCTCAACACTGTGTGACTCTTGTGGGTTAGTTCTTAATGTGATTATACAAGTGCTCCTTGACTTATGATAGTTCACTTTATGATATTTTGACTGCATTATGGCACAAAAGTAATTACTTTGGAGATGAAACTTAAAATAATTACCCAGCATATAGGCTGCAAGTCCATAACTTGTACAGGTCGGCCATCACTAATCCGGCATCATTGGAATCTGTAGTGTGCCGGATCAGTGAGTTTGCTGGATTACAGAGTGGTTAGGTTAGAATACACTTAATTAACCTATCAATAGAGACTCTTTGTGCTATATCTTCCTCATTTTCATCACTGTTTTCTCCTCCACTAGCTTGCTGCTGTGGATTTACAACCATCTGCATGATTTCTGAGTCAGTATAATGATGAAATTTGAGTCAGTATAATGATTTGAGTCATTGTAATGATGAAATTTGAAATTATGCTAGCCAGAATTAGTGCCAGATTACTGATGGAACTGAATAACTGATTGCCAGCTTAGTGATGGCTGACCTGTATTCATTTATTTACTTTATAATACTGCTATTTATTTAGTTACAGTAATTATTTTTTATTTACTTATTCAATGACAGTGGCTGAAAGTTAAGACACATGTGCAACATCTGGATATCTTTATTGTAGACGTTTCGCCATCCAGTGGCTTTATCAATACAGATTCTAGGACATAATAGGAAGGCAGTAGAACTATATACAAAAGATGGTAATCAGTCCCTCGGCCTTGGAGTTAGTGTTCACAGCATCGTGGTGGAGGAGAAACTGGAGCAAAGACAAGAAGACTGGTGGTTATATAGGCGTCAGTGGAATCTTGGTTCAGAGGACATCTACAAGACCTTCTTCACGGCTGCTGCAACTAACCCATCTCTTTGGGAAGGACCTACTTCCACTGGGGAATCCCGCCTACCAGTGACTATGCCCTCGTCTGCTGCCCGTCCCTATCCACTGACGCCTATATAACCGCCAGTCTTCTTGTCTTTGCTCCAGTTTCTCCTCCACCACGATGCTGTGAACACTAACTCCAAGGCCGAGGGACTGATTACCTCATCTTTTGTATATAGTTCTACTGTCTTCCTATTATGTCCTAGAATCTGTATTGATAAAGCCACTGGATGGCGAAACGTCTACAATAAAGATATCCAGATGTTGCACATGTGTCTTAACTTTCATATTGTCGGTATTTTATACCTTTCTTGCACATTGACAGTGGTTGTTTGTTTACTTAGCATACCATATTTATCTTTTAATATTTTTGACTTATGGTGGGTTTGTCGAACTGTAACTCCATCGTAAGTCAAGGAGCACCTGGTAGTCCCAGTAAGGTCTGTGAACCTCGGTTAAATTTACCTTTCCACTACTTTAGTAGTCATTAACTGAATGTTGATACACAGCTGTCAGCTAGAGCCTGCATAAATCACACTGTCCACCGTTCATTCTTTCATGGCATGGGGACATACCTCACTTCTGTGTAGATACTTAGCAGGTAACTTTGCACTGGGGCATTTTGTACCTTGCCTGCTCACAGCCTAAATGTTAAGTCTAGTGAGCTTTCCATGGATTTCTGTCATGAAGAATTAGGCCTATGCTGCCTGTTTCTGGTATGGTGTACAGCTGGCAGTCCACCATATGCTGCAGTCTTCATGACAGAAGAGAGGTACCTATTTTACAATAATACGAGATTTCCTATGCTGTTACATGTTCAGATGCAAACTTTCTTTCTAGAGTGTAGCTTGTCTGTGTCTGTGGTCACAGAGTCTAAGTGTTTTCCCTGCCCTCCTGGGAGGCTGTCTCAAGTACGGTGGTACCTCGGGATACAAACTTAATTGGCTCCAGAAGGCTGTTTGAGTGCTGATACTGAACAAATTTGTTCCCATAAGGAATAATGTAAATTAGATTAATCCATTTCAGACCCCCAAAAATACACTTACAAAAGCACTTACATAATTACACTTACATAATTGTTTGAGTTTTGAGGTGTTCGTATCCCGAGTTACCACTGTACGTCTTTGTACGACTTTGGCTAATTTCTTAAGAGTTTGTTTGTGCTTCAAAGATCAAGGTGTTTACTGGCTGGTCCGGGAGCAAGGATGGCGTTAACATACTTTTAAAAATGTACCTTTTTCATTTAGCCAACTTCCTTATATATTTAATTGTGGTTAACTGCATAAGAAATCCTACTTAATAATCTATGTTTAGTTCTTTAGTAGTCTTTAGTATTAGGATTAGATTGGCTGAAATACACAGCATGCTAGTGGCTTTGTTTTTTTGGCTAACATTGTTTTTTTTTTTTTACATTTATTTATTTTTTTTTTTATTAACACGTGGTCATTTGCCATTGAGGCATTGTGGCTTGTAAAAGAAGAAAGCCTTCACCATCATTCACTCCATCACTGTCTTGCCAGAGACATGTTGACACTACAGTTAAAAAAAACTTGAACATCATCACCCCTCCTTCAGAGTAAAGGCACTGAACTTCCCACTTTCAGGACTCAAGTCTGGCTAACCGGTTTCCTTGAAACCCTTCATAAATGTTACTTTGCTCACACTCCAACAGCACATCAAGTCATAAAACCCTTTCATCTCCACTTGCTCCTGTCTAACACACACACAAACTTGCTGGAAGTCCAAGCCCCTTTCACACAAAACCTCCTTTACATATAAATTACATTACCCGTGTACTATATTAAAGAAATAAAAATTTGAATTTAAAGGAATGTTCGCTGATGAGGACTTGCATTGTACAGTAGAACCCTCCCCCATCTGTATCTGTAGGAGATATACTCCAACACCCACCATGGATATACTCCAACACCCACCATGGATACCTGAACCTGTGGATAGTAGTGATAGAGATAGTGATAGTGATAGAGAGGTGAAGGTTTATAAACTAAAAGAGGAGGCAGTTAGGGTAAGATATAAACAGCTATTGGAGGATAGATGGGCTAATGAGAGCATAGGCAATGGGGTCGAAGAGGTATGGGGTAGGTTTAAAAATGTAGTGTTAGAGTGTTCAGCAGAAGTTTGTGGTTACAGGAAAGTGGGTGCGGGAGGGAAGAGGAGCGATTGGTGGAATGATGATGTAAAGAGAGTAGTAAGGGAGAAAAAGTTAGCATATGAGAAGTTTTTACAAAGTAGAAGTGATGCAAGGAGGGAAGAGTATATGGAGAAAAAGAGAGAGGTTAAGAGAGTGGTGAAGCAATGTAAAAAGAGAGCAAATGAGAGAGTGGGTGAGATGTTACCAACAAATTTTGTTGGAAATAAGAAAAAGTTTTGGAGTGAGATTAACAAGTTAAGGAAGCCTACAGAACAAATGGATTTGTCAGTTAAAAATAGGAGAGGAAGTTTTTAAATGGAGAGTTAGAGGTATTGGGAAGATGGAGGGAATATTTTGAGGAATTGTTAAATGTTCATGAAGATAGGGAAGCTGTGATTTCGTGTATAGGGCAAGGAGGAATAACATCTTGTAGGAGTGAGGAAGAGCCAGTTGTGAGTGTGGGGGAAGTTCGTGAGGCAGTAGGTAAAATGAAAGGGGGTAAGGCAGCCGGGATTGATGGGATAAAGATAGAAATGTTAAAAGCAGGTGGGGATATAGTTTTGGAGTGGTTGGTGCAATTATTTAATAAATGTATGGAAGAGGGATTGGCAGAGAGCATGCATAGTTCCTTTGTATAAAGGCAAAGGGGACAAAAGAGAGTGCAAAAATTATAGGGGGATAAGTCTGTTGAGTATACCTGATAAAGTGTATGGTAGAGTTATTACTGAAAGAAATAAGAGTAAGACGGAGAATAGGATAGCAGATGAACAAGGAGGCTTTAGGAAAGGTAGGGGGTGTGTGGACCAGGTGTTTACAGTGAAACAGTATTTAGATAAGGCTAAAGAGGTCTTTGTGGCATTTATGGATTTGGAAAAGGCGTATGACAGGGTGGATAGGGGGGCAATGTTGCAGGTGTATGGTGTAGGAGGTAGGTTACTGAAAGCAGTGAAGAGTTTTTACAAGGATAGTGAGGCTCAAGTTAGAGTATGTAGGAAAGAGGGAAATTATTTCCCAGTAAAAGTAGGCCTTAGACAAGGATGTGTGATGTCACCACGGTTGTTTAATATATATATAGATGGGGTTGTAAGAGAAGTAAATGCGAGGGTTTTGGCAGGAGGCGTGAAGTTAAAAGATAAAGAATCACACACAAAGTGGGAGTTGTCACAGTTGCTCTTTGCTGATGGCACTGTGCTCTTGGGAGATTCTGAAGAGAAGTTGCAGAGATTGGTGGATGAATTTGGTAGGGTGTGCAAAAGAAGAAAATTAAAAGTGAATACAGGAAAGAGTATGGTTATGAGGATAACAAAAAGATTAGGTGATGAAAGATTGGATATCAGATTGGAGGGAGAGAGTATGGAGGAGGTGAATGTATTCAGATATTTGGGAGTGGATGTGTCAGCGGATGGGTCTATGAAAGATGAGGTGAATCATAGAATTGATGAGGGAAAAAGAGTGAGTGGTGCACTTAGGAGTCTGTGGAGACAAAGAACTTTGTCCTTGGAGGCAAAGAGGGGAATGTATGAGAGTATAGTTTTACCAACGCTCTTATATGGGTGTGAAGCATGGGTGATGAATGTTGCAGCGAGGAGAAGGCTGGAGGCAGTGGAGATGTCATGTCTGAGAGCAATGTGTGGTGTGAATATAATGCAGAGAATTCGTAGTTTGGAAGTTAGGAGGAGGTGGGGGATTACCAAAACTGTTGTCCAGAGGGCTGAGGAAGGGTTGTTGAGGTGGTTCGGACATGTAGAGAGAATGGAGCGAAACAGAGTGACTTCAAGAGTGTATCAGTCTGTAGTGGAAGGAAGGCGGGGTAGGGGTCGGCCTAGGAAAGGTTGGAGGGAGGGGGTAAAGGAGGTTTTGTGTGCGAGGGGCTTGGACTTCCAGCAGGCATGCGTGAGCGTGTTTGATAGGAGTGAATGGAGACAAATGGTTTTTAATACTTGACGTGCTGTTGGAGTGTGAGCAAAGTAACATTTATGAAGGGATTCAGGGAAACCGGCAGGCCGGACTTGAGTCCTGGAGATGGGAAGTACAGTGCCTGCACTCTGAAGGAGGGGTGTTAATGTTGCAGTTTAAAAACTGTAGTGTAAAGCACCCTTCTGGCAAGACAGTGATGGAGTGAACGATGGTGAAAGTTTTTCTTTTTCGGCCCACCCTGCCTTGGTGGGCCACCCTGCCTTGGTGGGCCACCCTGCCTTGGTGGGAATCGGCCAATGTGATAATAAAATAAAAAAAAAACATACCTATGATAGTTTAATTGATAAATTATGCAGAATAAGTTGAGAATTAACACTTTTTTCACTGATGAGAAGCATTTCACAGCTTCTCTTAAGCCTTGAAGAACTGCCAGCTTCTCTACTTTTGTGCTATGCAGCCATTATTAAGCAAAATTAATGGTTATTTTCAGATGCCAGTAAACCATGGACAACTGAAACTGTGGAAACTGAATTTGCAGATATGTGGCTCTGCTGTACTTATGTAATTTTTAGTATCTTAATTTTGTATTTTGCCTTCATTATAGACTGCACTGAACTTGGTTCGTGATGGGCACCTCGGGATAAAACCAGCTGCCCGAGCTTTCAACATTCCTGTAGCTACGCTCTACAACGTTACCAAAAGGCACAACGTCTCCAGCCCCATGCAGCAGGTAACAAAGAAAACTACAAATGAGGCAGTCAAGAAACATTCCGGGTAAACAGAGGTGAGAGTAGATGGAGAACTGAGCCGTAGGCGTAGTGGGGCAAAACTGTCTTTAAGAAAGTGGATTCTCCAGACTGGCCATAAACAAATGCTAATATCTGTAAGTGATAAAAATTTAATTAATTTTCAGCAAGAAAATTTATATGCGTAATCTCTAAATTTCAATATTTATATTTTTTTTATATTCAGTTCTTTAAAATTAATTAAAAAAAGTACTTCAAGTAAAGAATTTTAACCCTGTTATTATTAGTAATACACTCACCCCTTAACCTGTGTGGTAGATAATACACTCACCCCTTAACTTGTATGGTAGATGATAATACCCTCACCCCTTAACCTGTGTGGTAGATAATACACTCACCCCTTAACTTGTATGGTAGATGATAATACCCTCACCCCTTAACTTGTGTGGTAGATAATACCCTCACCCCTTAACTTGTGTGGTAGATGATAATACACTCACCCCTTAACTTGTGTGGTAGATGATAATACCCTCACCCCTTAACTTGTGTGGTAGATGATAATACCCTCACCCCTTAACTTGTGTGGTAGATGATAATACCCTCACCCCTTAACTTGTGTGGTAGATGATAATACACTCACCCCTTAACTTGTATGGTAGATGATAATACCCTCACCCCTTAACTTGTGTGGTAGATGATAATACACTCACCCCTTAACTTGTGTGGTAGATGATAATACCCTCACCCCTTAACTTGGTAGATGATAATACACTCACCCCTTAACTTGGTAGATGATAATACACTCACCCCTTAACTTGTGTGGTAGATGATAATACCCTCACCCCTTAACTTGTATGGTAGATGATAATACCCTCACCCCTTAACTTGTGTGGTAGATGATAATACACTCACCCCTTAACTTGTGTGGTAGATGATAATACACTCACCCCTTAACTTGTATGGTAGATGATAATACACTCACCCCTTAACTTGTGTGGTAGATGATAATACCCTCACCCCTTAACTTGTGTGGTAGATGATAATACACTCACCCCTTAACTTATGTGGTAGATGATAATACCCTCACCCCTTAACTTGTGTGGTAGATGATAATACACTCACCCCTTAACTTATGTGGTAGATGATAATACCCTCACCCCTTAACTTGTGTGGTAGATGATAATACACTCACCCCTTAACTTGTGTGGTAGATGATAATACACTCACCCCTTAACTTGGTAGATGATAATACACTCACCCCTTAACTTGGTAGATGATAATACACTCACCCCTTAACTTGTGTGGTAGATGATAATACACTCACCCCTTAACTTGTGTGGTAGATGATAATACACTCACCCCTTAACTTGGTAGATGATAATACACTCACCCCTTAACTTGGTAGATGATAATACACTCACCCCTTAACTTGGTAGATGATAATACACTCACCCCTTAACTTGGTAGATGATAATACCCTCACCCCTTAACTTGTGTGGTAGATGATAATACACTCACCCCTTAACTTGGTAGATGATAATACCCTCACCCCTTAACTTGTGTGGTAGATGATAATACACTCACCCCTTAACTTGTGTGGTAGATGATAATACACTCACCCCTTAACTTGTGTGGTAGATAATACACTCACCCCTTAACTTGTGTGGTAGATAATACACTCACCCCTTAACTTGTATGGTAGATGATAATGCCCTCACCCCTTAACTTGTGTGGTAGATGATAATACCCTCACCCCTTAACTTGTATGGTAGATGATAATACCCTCACCCCTTAACTTGTGTGGTAGATGATAATACCCTCACCCCTTAACTTGTGTGGTAGATGATAATACACTCACCCCTTAACTTGTGTGGTAGATGATAATACCCTCACCCCTTAACTTGTGTGGTAGATGATAATACACTCACCCCTTAACTTGTGTGGTAGATGATAATACACTCACCCCTTAACTTGTATGGTAGATAATAATACACTCACCCCTTAACTTGTATGGTAGATGATAATACACTCACCCCTTAACTTGTATGGTAGATAATAATACACTCACCCCTTAACTTGTATGGTAGATGATAATACACTCACCCCTTAACTTGTATGGTAGATAATAATACACTCACCCCTTAACTTGTATGGTAGATAATAATACACTCACCCCTTAACTTGTGTGGTAGATGATAATACACTCACCCCTTAACTTGTATGGTAGATGATAATACCCTCACCCCTTAACTTGTATGGTAGATAATAATACACTCACCCCTTAACTTGTATGGTAGATAATAATACACTCACCCCTTAACTTGTGTGGTAGATGATAATACACTCACCCCTTAACTTGTATGGTAGATGATAATACACTCACCCCTTAACTTGTATGGTAGATAATAATACACTCACCCCTTAACTTGTATGGTAGATAATAATACACTCACCCCTTAACTTGTGTGGTAGATGATAGTATTCTTTCTATTCTAAAGATTTAGTACAAGAAACCAACCATTTACCTATATCGACTACCTAGTAAAGTGATCAGAAATTGTTAATTTGGCCAATTTCACACACAATTAAATAAACTGCAATTTAAAAACAGGGTCCAGAATAAACAATGTAGACTTTTCTTGCACTAAAACATCTCTATTTATTAGTGCATGGTGTTTTACTTGTAAGGTACGGTGCATGGTGTTTTACTTGTAAGGTACGGTGCATGGTGTGTTACTTGCAAGGTAGAGTGCATGGTGTGTTACTTGTAAGGTACGGTGCATGGTGTGTTACTTGCAAGGTAGAGTGCATGGTGTGTTACTTGTAAGGTACGGTGCATGGTCTGTTACTTGTAAGGTACGGTGCATGGTGTTACTTGTAAGGTACGGTGCATGGTGTGTTACTTGTAAGGTACGGTTCATGGTGTGTTACTTGTATGGTAGGGTGCATGGTGTGTTACTTGTAAGGTACGGTGCATGGTGTGTTACTTGTAAGGTACGGTGCATGGTGTGTTACTTGCAAGGTAGAGTGCATGGTGTGTTACTTTTATGGTAGATCCCCAGGCCTCTTCTCTATTACGCTTGCTTTCTACATTGAATTTTTATTCACACAAAAATAGAAGATTTGCTGTAATGAAGACTACTGCATTATTGTAATAATTCTATAAATAATGTCAGAGCATTTGTGGACACATATTACACTGACCAGTTGGATGCATATTGGATAAGTGATGTAATTTGTGTACACTGGAATATTGGCAAAAATTGAGCATTTCTGCTACTTTCAGCTCAATTTCAAGACACTTTCAGACCAGAAACCAATCGGAAACATCTCTGTTTCTGTAATATATCATGTACGGGTATGCTGAGGAAGGCCAGTAGTTAGTGTGGGTGGAGATGGTGGTGGAAGGGTTGGCGTTAGCGGTGCTTGTTGTGTAGTGGGTGAATATGAGCCGGTGGGCCAGCTGACTGTAATAGGTGTTAGAGAAGATGTTGGTAGACACTTTCATTCTATCATGAGATCAAGAAACTAAGACTACAACCATAAAAACTATACAAAAGTATACAGCAAAGTTGCTGTTTTAAACTAAAAACACATTCAGAGTTTTTTTTCCCATTATTCACTGCATGCTGCAGGATTTTTTTTACATGGTGCAGACTTACCACATAGACTCATTCTCTCATTTCTAGGCTCAGATTTAGTGCTCACAGTTTATCTGAGAGAGCTGAGCTCATCACGGAGAACACTGGGACCGACCTGCACTTCAAAGTCATAGTGCAAGGCCGGGACCCAACCCGAAAGAGGTTAAAAAAGTTATTTTTAAATTGTGTATGTGCTAGAAGTGATCAAGTGGTCCTGGGACTAAAACATTTTTTAATAAATATGCCCTAGTGTTTGCTCACAGCTGTATTTAAACCAATTGCCCCTATTAATCTGGACCATCAAAAACTCGGCACATGCAAACACTAATACACTGGTCTCACGTTCTTCCTCGCCTTATATGACTAACTCTCTTCAACTGACCTGACTTTGATTCTGTACACTTTAAATGGTAGCATTCTTGAGTTGGTTTCAGTGTTTGAGAAAGCTTCACCAAGAACAAAACAATTTTATATAAAATGCTTACTGTCTTCATGGTGTTTTTGACAGTACATTGGCAGGCTATGTTATAGAAGAGGAATGAGAGGAAGTTGAGACTCTGGTAGCTGTGGCAGCCATAACAATTAGGTGGTGTATGATGCAGTGAATGACACAAGTTGAGAACCAGCATGGTGATGTATGATGCAGTGAATGACACAAGTTGAGAACCAGCCTGGTGATGTATGATGCAGTGAATGACACAAGTTGAGAACCAGCCAGGTGATGTATGATGCAGTGAATGACACAAGTTGAGAACCAACCAGGTGATGTATGATGCAGTGAATGACACAAGTTGAGAACCAGCATGGTCATGTATGGTGCAGTGAATGACACAAGTTGAGAACCAGCCTGGTGATGTATGGTGCAGTGAATGACACAAGTTGAGAACCAACTAGGTGATGTATGGTGCAGTGAATGACACAAGTTGAGAACCAACCAGGTGATGTATGGTGCAGTGAATGACACAAGTTGAGAACCAGCCTGGTGATGTATGGTGCAGTGAATGACACAAGTTGAGAACCAGCCTGGTGATGTATGATGCAGTGAATGACACAAGTTGAGAACCAGCCTGGTGATGTATGGTGCAGTGAATGACACAAGTTGAGAACCAGCCTGGTGATGTATGGTGCAGTGAATGACACAAGTTGAGAACCAACCAGGTGATGTATGATGCAGTGAATGACACAAGTTGAGAACCAGCCTGGTGATGTATGGTGCAGTGAATGACACAAGTTGAGAACCAACCAGGTGATGTATAATGCAGTGAATGACACAAGTTGAGAACCAGCCTGGTGATACATAATCGTTGCATACATCTTTACAGTGATAATGTCATCTGTAAACACTCCTTCGGTGCCCTAACTGCCTCTCAGAAACTCTCACCTTTACTTCAGATTCTATGACTTTTTAACTGAAGTTGAGTTATTGCACTAACTCTGACTTCCTTTCATACATGAGCTTACCCTCCATCAGGGACAGATCTACTATGAAACTAATGAAGCTTAAGCGTCAGGGCCCCTAATCCTGGAGGGGCCCAGAAGCCACTTTAGTCCACATTGCTTAAAAATTTTGGGTTTGTTGCATAAGAAGGGTTTTTTTTTTTTAAATAAGAATGTAGTTCAATACAAAATAATAGTTAAAATAAAAATTAAAAGGTTATTAAAGTATAATATAAGCCTAGCCTTTGCTGGTTTCCAAAGGGCCTCCATAACAAGCTTCAGGGGCCCCAAAAATTTAGATCTACCACTGCCCTCCATACAGCTCTTTCCTGACATCACCTGCCCATTCTTTTGCCAGTCAGCACTGAATAACATTTACAAGTTAGTTCTATTCTGTGAATATAATAAAGTGTACATCTCCTATGTTACCACAACAATACCTTACAATACTTAAAAACTAGACATGAGTTATTAACCCTTAAACTGCCCAAATGCAGATCTACGTTCACATGCGTACTGCTCCAAACGTAGATCTACGTTTTTTTTACATTTGAGAGCATGTAAAATAAAACGTGGATCTACGTTTTTTTTTTACATTTGAGAGCATGTAAAATAAAACATAGATCTACGTTTTTTTTACATTTGAGAGCATGTAAAATAAAACATAGATCTACGTTTTTTTTACATTTGAGAGCATGTAAAATAAAACGTAGATCTACGTTTGGAGCGCTGCAGTATACATGTAAACTACATGTATACTGCAGAAAAAAAAATTATTTTTATTTGTATTGTGCTGCTCTGGTAGGGGTATACAATATACTGTCATGTGTGATCATCTGTAAAACATTATAAAGCTCATACTTAAACAAAATTCCTACTTTACTCCTGTTTTAAACACCCACAAAATACCAGTATAGATTATTTGTCAGCAACAGTTGACATCATCTACCATTTGGCTATAATACTACTAATAATAATAATTGTTTATTTTGACATGATATATGATTATACAAAGGAATATAATAATTGGGTGTACATGCCAAAAGCCCCTTTGTATGCAGAGCATTTCGGGCAAACTTAAAATTAACCATACCCCGGCCGGGATTGAACCCGCGGTCAAGCGTCTCAAAACTCCAGCCCATCGCGTTAGCTAACGAGACGGCTGGAGTTTTGAGACTCTTGACCGCGGGTTCAATCCCGGCCGGGGTATGGTTTGTTTGCAATCGTGTCATTACGATTTCGTGAGTCAAGTTAAAATTAACTTTAGATTAATGAGGCAATAACAGTTCATATGGTCATTAGATGAGTTACATTGAATATAATAGAATTGAGTATTCTATTAGGTAATGCTATATTGCTTTAATAAGTCTATTAGAGAAGTTCAGTAGATAATTTCAGAATGACAGTGCTGCAGTTAGGTCATTAGAACATTAGTTTGGGGTACAGACATCTCATTTAGCTCCTCTATATAGTGCAAATCTTTCATAAATGTAATTGAAAAATGCATCAAAAATTGAATAGAAAGCATTGTGATGGCCTCTCTATGCACTGTTCCATTTCAGATGTACTTTTTCAATCACATTAACAAAAATTTCATTTTATAAGGGAGGTGACTGTATTTATGTTAGGTAAAAGGGCACAAGTGCAGCTAATGTGACTGTTTATTGTGGCAACATTTCACTCTCCAGGAGCTTTGTTAAGCCGTTTCTGGCTTGACAAAGCTCCTGGAGAGCAAAACGTTGCCACAAAAATGCATCACATTTATTGCACGTATCCTCTTACCTAACATCATCATCATCTTTCAACAAACCTGCCGTATCCCACAGAGGCGGGGTGACCCAAAAAGAAAAACAAAAGTTTCTCTTTTTAACTTTAGTAATGTATACAAGAGAAGGGGTTACTAGGCCCTTGCTTCCGGCATGTTAGTCGCCTCTTGTGACACGCATGGCTTGTGAACTAAGAATTCTGTTTGTCGGTAATTGTACCATTATTATTACACATGACTGCATTCCTGCCTTGCATGTGTGCTTCTGAGTGTAAGAGGAATTATTGTCAAATAATTGTAAAATAAAAAATACTGTATCTTCTGATAAAATTTTAGTAAGTAATACAAATATGACCCACACATAGGAGAGAGAAGCTAATGACAATGTTTTGGTCCCACTTGTACCATTTACAAAGTCACACTGTTTGACTTTGTAAATGGTACAAGTTAACCGAAATGTTTTCATAAGTTTCTCGTATGTGCAGATTATTTGTGTATTGTTCCAGTCACAGTATTGTGCCTGTTTGTTCCTCAGTTAGTAATCTGTTGACATATTACATTGGTTAAATGTATAAAAATTATTTTGTTTCATAATAGTGTGAAGATATTCCAGCAGTACTTAAATATTTAAAGGTGAGTAAAGTTAGCGGTATCTCTTATAAATGCCCTCCAAATACTACGCCTATTGGCAGTTTTGTCTTATTTTATATATATCTTTTTTTTTTTTGCTTGTTTGACATAAATTATTGAAGATATTTAATGTGATTTTTGATGTTGATAATAAATAAGCATTAACTGACATGAGATTCTCTTCTTCAGGGAGCTAATGAGAAAACCTGGCGAGATAAAGGCTCTCTTGTTGTTAGTACAGATGGCCGACACTTCCAGTGTCTGCCATCTTGCTCTTCTATGCTGCCTGACTCTTAAGTCTACCTTTTATTATTGTTTACAAAACATTGTAGGTAATTACTTGTTGTCTATCTTGCCTGAGTTGACTGTCTACTTTTTGTTTATAGAAATATAACATAGAAAACAAACTGTAGCTACATTTATTCTTTGCTTTGGATAGATTGTTATAACTTTGGAATCTATTCATATTTGTTTTATTTTATAATGTGCCTAAATGCATATCATTGAGAGTACAAATATGTATATTTGTATAAATGTATCATAGTAGAGTATTATTTACCAATTGACTCAAATATTAAATCTAAATAAAGCATTGGGGGATTTCCAAAAAAGATTAGTAAAGTGTTTTTTTAGTGAGACCTGAGTATTGTTGAGGAAAAAATATAAGTATCTGTATATAGGTGATTACTTTTTTAACACATCAACTTTCTCTCACCACGTCAGGAGAACCAAAAAGGAAATGCATTCACCATCATTCATTCAATAGCTATCTTGCCAGTAGTACAGACATCACAGTTTAAATAACCCAAAGACCCACTCCTACAGAGTGCAGGTACTGTACTTTTCACCTCCAAAATTGTCATCTTGCCTACACTCCAACAACACATCAAATCACTTAGTCCTTGGTCACTCCAATCTAACGCTTACACATGCTTGCTAGAAGTTTAAGCCCCTGCCTGGGTTTAGAGCTTGTTCTGGAATATACAGTAACCTCTCTCATAACATGTAAGATGCGTTTCTGAAAATTAGCATTTTGTAAAAATTACCGTTATGTGGAGTGAAGAATGTGGTGGAAAATAGGATAATTTTCCAGACACCACCAGACTTGTCAGACACAGTGCTGTAGTTTTTTATTAGGTAAAAAATTATTAGAGTTTATTCTACCTCATATTTTAGTTGAAGAATTAAACACTTTTGCAGCATTTGGGAATTTTTATTGAAGAAATATTTTGCAAACAGGTGGCTTCCCCAGTCTGGTACGTTGATGAATGGTGGGCTGAGGTAGATGACTGTGTTCTTGTGTTAGTGTGGATGTACAGGTCATAGTTTTACTGGAGTGCTAAAGTATTTCGTACTGAAGCTCTGGTCTGTTTTACCCTAGTACCACAGACTTTGCTGCAGAACAGTGCTCCTAAGTTTGTCAATCTTTGTAAGTAAAGAAGTCACCAACCTGACCAATATCATGGAATTGATTATTGATCTGTTACCTTGTTTACTCTTTACGTCATGGTTCTCCTTCCTCTTTGTCTTTTATTTGCATTGCTTTCTTGTTAGATCTTTAAATAACAAACAAGTTTTGTCTTGACCTTGTAAAGCACTGGGAATTCTTTGAATAATAAATCAAGATAATAGTATACATTTGTGGTTTAAATCACCTGTTGTATGTGCCCCTAGAAACAAGGCAAAGCAATCCTGACCTTTCTTAAAACCAGTTGCAGATTTTTAATGTTTGTTTTATTGTTAATGTTAGTTCTTGACAGTATACACTGTCAAGGTAGTTCTGTCTTGTCACAAGATAAATGGCACAAGTCAACAAGCTGTAAAATAACTTATATTGAGGTGTTTTTGCCTGTGTACAAGCTTCACGACTGGGGAAAACTGTCCACATGGAAAATGTTTTGATCAAGTTTCTCTGTAATTGTGTCGCCACTTGTCTCATCGATGTTAAACTCCTGGTCAAGAAAAAACCATACCCCCGGCCGGGATTGAACCCGCGGTCATAGAGTCTCAAAACTCCAGCCCGTCGCGTTATTTGCAATCGTGTCATTACGATTTCTTGAGTCCTGGTCAAGATATTCTCAGAAATAATTTGTGCAAATTCAGCAGAATATTTTCCCCAAGGCAGGGTGACCTGTAAAGAAGAAACACTTTCATTATCACTCACTCTATCACTGTCTTGCCAGAGGCATGCCAGTACTACAGTTCAAAAACTGCAACATATCTCCACCCCTCCTTCAGAGTGTTGGCACTGTACTTCCCACCTCCAAGACTCTAGTCCAGCCAACCAGTTTCCCTGAATCCCTTCATAAATGTTACTTCGCTCATACTTCAAGAGCACATCAAGTCAAAAATCATTTACCTCCACTCGCTCCTATATGTCTTGTCACTAAAATTTGTCATGATGTCAGTTTGCTTTTTAAAGCCTGCAAAGCACCCAGCACTAAACATGACACTGTTGACAAGGCTTCCTTTCCTTCTCACAGTTGTAATAGTAGGATCAGATTTTTTTTTACAAACAAATTGGCCGTTTCCCACCAAGGCAGGGTGGCCCATAAAAGAAAAACTTTCACCATCATTCACTCCATCACTGTCTTGCCAGAAGGGTGCTTTACACTACAGTTATAAAACTGCAACATTAACACCCCTCCTTCAGAGTGCAGGCACTGTACTTCCCATCTCCAGGACTCAAGATCAGATTATATGTTGTATTATTTAAACACTGAATGGAGGCTTACTTATATTCTCTTCAGTCCACACAGTCAACAGTCTTATTCAGTCATCTTGGCTTCTGACATTCTTTTCACTAGGTCATAATCTTCACTAATAATTGCAGAAGCTCTTAGTTTTTCATTGTCTTGAATTTTGTAATAATTTTTGGTAGAATTACCGACAATAAGTAAAGTAAAAGGACACAAGTGCAACTAATGTGAACATTTTATTGTGACACAATAAAATGTCACATTAGTTGCACTTGTGTCCTTTTACTTTACGTCTTGAATTTTACAGATGGCAGATTCTCTCAGACTAAAAGTTAAGGCATTCTGCATCATATATGCACCACACCATAACACAAAAATTTCCACTTCCATGGATACTGTCAGATTCATAATCCTTTTTCATGGTATGTCCAGCATCACTTTCCAAAGAAATCATCAATCTAACAGATTTTGAAAGTATAAAACAAAGTCTGCAGGGTCATTTTATTCAGAAACAGAAGACAGTCTGTTGGTTTCAGAATTACCCGTTATTGTCACAACTGTGGCAAAACAATCTTGTCTTCTTCTTCTTTCAACGTACCAGCCGTATCCCACTGAGGTGGGGAGGCCCAAAAGAAAAAACTGAAGTTTCTCCTTTTAAATTTAGTAATATATACAGGAGAAGGGGTTACTAGCCCCTTGCTCCCGGCATTTTAGTCGCCTCTTACAACACGCATGGCTTACAGAGGAAGAATTCTGTTCCACTTCCCCATGGAGATAAGAGGAAATAAACAAGAACAAGAATTAGAAAGAAAATAGAAGAAAACCCAGAGGGGTGTGTATATATATGCTTGTACATGTATGTTTAGTGTGACCTAAGTGTAAGTAGAAGTAGCAAGACTTACCTGTAATCTTGCATATTTATGAGACAGACAAAAGACACCAGCAATCCTACCTTCATGTAAAACAATTACAGGCTTTCGTTTTACACTCACTTGGCAGGACGGTAGTACCTCCCTGGGTGGTTGCTGTCTACCAACCTACTACCACAGGACGGTAGTACCTCCCTGGGTGGTTGTTGTCTACCAACCTACTACCACAGGATGGTAGTACCTCCCTGGGTGGTTGCTGTCTACCAACCTACTACCACAGGACGGTAGTACCTCCCTGGGTGGTTGCTGTCTACCAACCTACTACCACAGGACGGTAGTACCTCCCCGGGTGTTGTTGTCTACCAACCTACTACCACAGGACGGTAGTACCTCCCTGGGTGGTTGCTGTCTACCAACCTACTACCACAGGACGGTAGTACCTCCCTGGGTGGTTGCTGTCTACCAACCTACTACCACAACAATCTTGTCTATCCACCATAATTGCCACTACCAGTCACCTGCCCCTTCCCTATAAGTACATTAAATCAGAAGCTTACAGTGTTACTTTGGGTGCCACGGTTAACCCGTAAACGGTCCAAGCAGATCTACGTTCACATGTGTAGTGCTACAAAAGTAGATCTACGTTTTTTTTACATATTTTCAAATATAACAAAAAAAAAGTAGATCAAAGTTTTTTACACATTTTCAAATGTAAAAAAAACAAAAAGAAGATCTACTTTTTTTACATACTTTCAAATGTTGAAAAAACGTATACAGTGGACCCCCGCATAACGATTACCTCCGAATGCGACCAATTATGTAAGTGTATTTATGTAAGTGCGTTTGTACGTGTATGTTTGGGGGTCTGAAATGGACTAATCTACTTCACAACATTTCTTATGGGAACAAATTCGTTCAGTACTGGCACCTGAACATACTTCTGGAGTGAAAAAATATCGTTAACCGGGGGTCCACTGTATATACGTTTGGACCGTTTACGAGTTAATATCCAGAGATGAGATGGAGCGATGAAACTATCCAAATTGTATTTGATGAACATAGAGTGAGTGAGGTATATGATGCTCCCAGAAAGTGACTGGGGCAAGAATGACAGTGCGGGAGGGAGGCGCTCTGCCTCTCCTCTTGATGCAGGTCTGAGGGAAAATATTTTGCGGCACAGAACCTGATTTCCCACATAACTTTATGCTTTCCTGTTTTATGATGCTTAGTATTAATTTTCTTTCAGAGCTCCAAAATTTTGGCCTCTTCAAGGGGGGCTCCTTGGCGTGGTGAAGAGGCTCTTGGTCTGAGGAATTAGCCCTGTCGGTCTTCTTCCTCAGACCGAACCTAATTACCCCCCATTCTCCCCTCCCCTATCCCATCCTCCCCATCCTCCCCTTTTTCCATTCCTCCTCCTCCTCCTCACCCCTCCCTTTTGCCCTTCCTCTTTTTAGCCTTCGTGATTTCTCTCACAGGCGCGCTAGTTCCTAGGTAGGGGAAAGGACACCGGGGTCCATCCCATTCCGTTGAGGTTTCTTGGCGGGCGTGTTGCCGTGAATCTGGATTGCCTAGGGGTGTCCCGATCCCTCTCCGGTTCCCGAGTAGCTTTTGGGGGTCTTTTGGGCGACGGGTTCTCTGGAACCCCCCTTTTGGATTCCGGGGGTGGCTGGGGAAAACTAATACAAAAATTTAAGAAAAGTTTTCGGTTTTAAGAATTTTAAAAAACCCCAAAATTCAAAAATTTTTTTTCAATTATTAATTGGGGATGCGGGGAAAGGATTTTTTTTAATGGGTGGGGGTTCCCACTTGTTGTTTTATTTTCCTGGCCGTTTACTTAAAAGGGTTTAGAAAAGTGTTGGCCTTTCTTTCACGGAGAAAAAACTGGGCCCAACCTTAAAACTTTAAAAAAGTAAAATTTGAAAAGGGGGGAAACCCCAAAAAAAAAAATTTTTTTTAAATTTTTATGGGGCTGGGGTTTTTTTTTAAGGGGGTGGGGGATTTAAAACATTTTTTTATTTTAGGCTAGTTTTGCTAAACAGTTTTATTTAAAAAT